TCAGACAGGTAGTGCAGATGAGAAACTCTTCCAGAGTTTCAGGATTCAGTTCGGTTCTTCCTAGGAAGCAGAGAGGACAAAACTGGTTAGGTTCAGGTTTCAAGGGAGTCAGAGAATCAGACAGGTTGGTTGGCTCAGGCTTGCTAACCGTAACTGGCACTGGAGTGTTGCGCTGCCACTGCTTATATGCTGATCTCCTGATGAGTTAACGAGCCGCAGATGTAGAAGTCAGCTTCGGCTCCAGGAGACCTAGGACGTCCTCTGCTGGAGAAAGGTGGACAGACCTCCAGATCCCAACAGTACCCCCTCCTCAACGACCGCCTCCTGGCGGTCCAGAAGAAATGGATGGCAGAGACTCACGGTAGTCGTCAATCAGGGAGGGATCCAGGATGAAGGATCCCGGAACCCAAGTGCGGTCCTCCGGTCCGTAGCCCTCCCAGTCGACCAGGCATTGCCAACCGCGGCCCAGGCGACGGGAGTCCACGATACGGTGAAGGCAGGGTGATCATCAATGTCCTGGGCGGTGGAGGGGAGTCGGACGGAGGGCACAAAGGACTGGTCAGAACAGGCTTGATTTGTGACACATGGAACGTAGGATGGATGCGGAGTGAAGGTGGCAGGTGCAGGCGGACGGCAGACGGGTTGATGATGGAGGCAATCTTATACGGACCGATGAATCTGGGGGAAAATTTGCGGGACATAGTTTTTAAAGGAATATCGCGTGTGGAAAGCCAAACCTGTTGACCTGGTGAATAGGTGGGAGCTGTGCGTCGTCGTCTGCGATCGGGGAAGCGTTTATTTTGTGCAGATGTCCGTTTCAGAGCGGCTATGGTGTCCTTCCAAACCTTCTGGTAACGGCGGATGTGGTGTTGAACAGACGGGACAGATATGTCCTTTTCATCGGTGGGAAACAGGGCTGGCTGATAACCTATGGAGATTTCAAAGGGAGACAGACCGGTTGCAGATGAAGTGTGAGAGTTATGAGTATACTCAATCCAGGGGAGAAATTGACTCCAGTCTGTTGGGTTGGTGGAGGTGAGGCAACGGAGAGTGGATTCCAGTTCCTGGTTCTTCCTTTCTGTTTGTCCATTTGTTTGAGGGTGGTAACCTGAGAAGAGTGAAGACAAGGGCAGAGCAGAAGTTTTTCCAGACCTGAGCTGTGAACTGGGGGCCTCTATCAGACAGGATCTCCTGAGGGATGTCATGGAGTTGGAAGACATGCTTTATGAGTAGTTGAGCCGTTTGAAATGCAGTAGGGAGTTTCCTAAGGGGGACAAGATGGCAGGACTTAGAAAAACGGTCAATAATTGTGAGAATTGTTGTCATACCCTTGGAGACGGGGAGGCCGGTTACAAAATCCACTGCAATGTGGGACCGGGGACGAGATGGAACAGGTAAAGGGGTA